AGAGAAAAATACTATTCTGTCACATATGCAAATGACATGAAGTTCAAATTTCAGTATTCATAAATAAAGTATTGTGGAAGCACACCCACCCGCTATCATTTAATATTACATAGGGCTGCTTTTGAACTACTGTGGCAGCATGTAGTTGCCACAAAGATCATGTGACACACCAAGCCTAAACTATTACTGCTTGGCCCTTCACTAAAAAGTTTGCTGACCCTGCTCTAGCACGTGGTTCCCAAACTGCTGCATATTGGAATTACCAGGAACTTTTTTTAAAAAAGAGTCTGTTTATTTTATTTATTTACTTACTTAATTAGTTATTTATATATTTTTTTAATTCTTACCCAAGGACACACTTAGAGGGGAAGGAAGAGAGAGAGAAGGAGAGAAACATCAATAAGAGGCAGAAACATAGATCAATTGCCTCTCATGCACACCCTTACCAAGAATGGAACCTGCAACTTAGGCATGTGTCCTGACTGGCAATTGAACCCACAGCCTGTCGGTTAACGGGACAACACTCCAACCAACTGAGCCATACTGGCAAGGTCTACCGGGTTTTTAAAAGCTTGATGCTCAGGTCATGTCCTAGACAAAGTAAATCAGACTCTCGTCAGATCCACTATGCAGCTGAGTTTGGGAACCTTTGTTCCAGCCCCTACTATGTGCCTCTTGCCACACCTGGGAGGGCTGGACCAAGCTCAGAAAGCTTGCCCAGAATTTAAGCACCTTTTTTTTGCCCCAAGACCTGTGGGCAGGATTGCATGCTGGCCCCCATGGGCCTTATTTTATGTAACCCATGCAGTAATTTTTAAAGCCAGAAATTTCACTGTGGCATCTGGGTTCAGTACTCTTGAAGTCCCCATTTCCAAGTGGCAACAATCCTCTGGATCTGACTTGGCTTCATTTTTTAACATCACCTGCTTGGTACCTGAAAACATTTGAGTTCAAGCACCCTGACCTAACAGTAAGGAAGTCTATAGCCTGGCACGTTTCAAATATTAACATGCACATGTGTCCCTCGGGGTTTAGGTTCCAGTTCAGCAGGTCAAGTGGGCCCGCATGTTGTGTCTCTAACAAGCTGCTAGATGATGATGATCTGGAGGGCCTGGTACATTTTGAGTAGTAAGGCCATAGGCTGTGTTTCTCAAATTTTGGTATGGCCCAGAGTCTCCTGGGGGTCTCTTCAAACTTAGTTTCTGATTCAGGAGGCCTGAGGTGGGACCTGAGGATTAGCCTTTGTAGCAAGTCCCTAGGCAATGCTCCTGTAGCTTATCTGTAGCCAGACTTTGAGAACCACTGCTCTAGGCTCTGCAGTGTGTGCTTGACCCACTGGCTCTCACCTAAGGTAGAGGGCTTGGAGGTCCCCTAGACAACAGGGTCTTTATTCCATCCGAAGTCAGAAGCCCAGCTGTTGCTGAGGGAATCAGGTCTTTCTTGGTCAACTGTCTCTTCGACCAGACCCAAGCAGTTTCCTCAAGTTCAAACCCACAATTTAAAAACAACTGGAGCCTGGAGATGGCAGAATTTTCTGTCTGTGCATTATAAACGTCTTCCCCGGTCTGATAGGTTCTACAAAAAGCCCTCCTCCATGGAGGTCCCACATAAGATACTACAGGGGACACTGCTTAAGCAGATTCGAACCCCAGGTATGGGGTCTTGCTTCAGCCCAAGCCTGCAGCAATAGGACAGAAGAGAAGAGGCCACACCCCGAAGATAGCTGTGGCTGCTGCAGCTTCAGGAACACTGGCAGGGCCCCCTTGAGGGTCAGGCTGGGCCCGGCGCCATCCACTACAACCGCCTTGAACAAGAATGACCACCCTGACCAGGACCGGTTTCCCAGAGTCCTTGAATGTGAGAGGGCTGGCGGCTGGATCTGGTTGGGTGAACTAGCGTTGATCAGAGATTATGTATTATTTAACTCTCTTCCTGGACCTTTCCGGCCAAAGACTGGCTGCCTCACAGCGGCTTTGAGGTGGCTCAAGAAGCCCCTGCCTACTGTTTGTCCCAGGCAGTGCCGTGTGACAGGACTGCACACAGGGCCTGGACCCTGGGGTGGGGAGCCTTGGACAGCCCTTGTGCAGCCCTTGTGCAAGCCCCGGCTCTCCACTCACCAGTGGGGTGACCTTGGGCAGCGGCTGCTCTGTGGAAGGGAGATGATGACACCTGGCAGGACTGACTGGAGGGTTAAATGAGATGATATGTGTGGGTAAATGCTAAGGCAGTATCTGGCACACGGTAGGTGCTCAACAAACCGTGGCTGCTGCTGTCAGCATAAAAATAGATATTAATTATGATTATTTAGTTATGTGAACCGCTCTACCACAGCCACCACCCTCCCCCGCCCCATTATCTTGCAGCCTGGCAGACAGGACAGCTTGCTTATGCACAAAAAAGTACCCATTTGGCCACAAATGTATTCTTTCTGAGAGTCAACTCCTATTTCAGTGCCCACTGTGTGCTAGTCATGGTTCTAGGCCTGTGCCATTTAATATAAATATAACGCAAGCCCAAGTCAGACCCACATAAGCAACATCAAATTTTCTAAAAGCCACATTTTTTAAGTGACCAGGAAAAAGAAACAGGTGAAATTAATTTTAATAATATATTTTATGGAACTCCTATATTCAAAATATCATCACTTGAACATGTCATTAATATTAAAAGTTATTAATGAGATTTTTTTATGGTCAACACATCTTTTTAAAATTTTTAATTGTGGTAAATTTAAAAAACAACAAAATTACCATCTTAAGCATTTCTAAGTGTATCATTCAATGATGTTAAGTACATTCACATTGCCATGCAACCGTCTGCACTGTCCACTTGCAGAACTCTTTTTAATATCTTCTGTTTCTCTTTTTCATACAGTGTCTTTGAGGTCTAGATAGTGTTTTACACTGAGGGTACATCTCAGCCCACCGGTGGCATTTCCATCACTAGATACTTGCCAAATATGAGTGATGGCTTCTGTGTTGGACAGAGAAGTTCTGCTGGGCCAAAGATGGGGGCGAGAGTCCCTGCACACCCACAGGAAATTTAGAAGTCTAGTGGCAGGAGACAGATGGAAATACATGAATGGATCAGATAGTCTCTGATGGTATATAAGTTCTACAGAGTGTAAATACGGCCATGGACTAGGGTGCTCCAGGGGTTGGGGCCAGGGTGTGTGGCATTTGAGCTGAGGCTCGAAAGAAGCAGCCAGCTCCACAAAGATTTAGAGTGGTGGTCCTCAATCTTGCTTGTGCATCATACTCTGTGTGGAAGTTTAAAAATGTGTATTAGACACCAGAGCCCACCTCAACCTGCAGAGTCAGAGTAGCTGAGTATGAAGCCCAGCTTGTGTGTGTGTGTGTGAAGTGATTGCTTGAGGCATAGCCAAGAGAGCTGTGGCAGCTGCTGAGGACCAGTGATGAAATGATCTTGGCATATTGGAGGAGCAGAATGAGGAAAGGACGGGGTAGGAGGGGTGTATGGAGGGGGACAGAGGCCAGGCCTTGCCAGCCGTTGAGACAATGGTAAACAGTTCAGGTTTTACTCTAAGTGTGGTAGAAAGCTGTTGTGGGACTTGTTGCAGGAAAATGCAAGGCCTTCTGGACAAAAATTTTGGACACTCACTTTTTGCCAAAGGCAAATAATAATAATAGGTTTAAGGTGCCATGTATTATTGCCTTTAATCTAACAATGAGGAAGAAGTTCCAAGGTGGGTAGTTAAATATGAAATATGGAAGTATGTTTCCATAGAAGGGTATGGAGTCTGTTGGTTGGAGGGACAGGGGCTGACAGGCTTACTGACCTGGTATGCCCAATCCTAGATTTAGGGAGCCCTCCACCCTCCTCTCTCCTCACCTCTGTCTTACTCTCATGCCTATTAGTTCCTTCTCTTTTGACAGCTTTGTATTAGTCTGCTTAGGTTGCTATAACAAAACACCATAGACTGGGCAGCTTAAACAACAATAACTTGTTTTCTCACAGTTTGGAAGCTGAAAATCCAAGGTCAAGGTGCCTCCTGAGCTTCTGCTTGGCTTGCAGTTGGCCTCCCTCTTATTGTGTTCTCATAAGGCCTCTCCTCTGAGACCTTATATCCAGTGTCTCTTTGGGTGTCCAAAAGTCCTCTCCTTATAAGGAGACCAGTCAGATTGGATCAGAGCCCACGCTATTGGCCCCCCATAACCTAATCATCTCCTTTGAAACCCTGTCTTCAAGTGCAGTCACATTCTGAGGTCCTGGTAGTTAGAGCTTCAACAGATAAACACAATTTAGCTCCGAGTGGCAGGTGGACAGAAGGAAACCAGGTGCTTTTTCTCTATCCCCACACCCCCCCCCCAACACATACACACACAAGCAGCAGAATTATTCAGAATGTTTAAGTAAAAAGGCATCTTCCAACTATGGAGGTTTCCAGCCATAATCAACCCTCAAAACCAAACCAAAGAACACCAGCTGAATGTCAACCCTGGCCCAAGCCCTGAAGGTCAGACATACTTATTGAACAACTACTGTGTGCAAGTTTCAAGCTCAAGCTTCGAGAAATCTGTCCTGGGATCTACTCACCCAGTAGGACAGATTAAAGAGGGATATAAATATCGATGATGTGAGGTATGTGGGAGCAAATAAAATAGAAGGAGTTCGTCCACCGAAAATATCATGGTGCTACAGGGCACGGGGAGGAAGAAGGGAAGATGACTTTGGTTCGGTGGGGACTGGGAAATGAGTAGATCCTATTTCCCTCATTTTACAAATCGGACAACCAGGGCACAGAAAGGGTAAGTCGATTCTACGAGGTCACACAGCAAGTAAGTGACAGCTGGGATTTCTAACCAGGTTCTTAAGCACTACCCTATTTTAAAGGGGAATGAGGGGGATAAAAGGAGACATGTAGGCTGAGGGCACACTAAAAGGTGTGTTGAAAACCAGGTAAGGATTTGGCCTTTATTCTACAGACACAGGGAGCTATTAAAAGTTTCTAACAGAAGTGGGACGTGGTGACATCTGAGCCTCTGGGAAGTGCAGCGCAGAGCCCGAAGCATAGTCATCTGCTGAGCTGGGAAATTCCCCTTCCAGCACCCGTCTTTTCTAAATTGCAGGTAAGTGAGTAAATTTAACAACCACCTACACGTTTTCATCTTTCTTTCCCCAACAATGATAATAATAGCCGACATTTCCTCAACGCTATGTGAAGAGCGTTACATGCATTATCTCATTTTAATCCTCCCTGAAAATAAAGGCCCAGGAAGGGAGGTGTTATTGCTGGCCCTTTTACAGATGAGACAACTGAGGCTCAGAGAGGTGCTGTGATAGGTCCAAGACTCCGCCCAACTCTGTCTGACTCCAAAGCTCACATTTTTAATAATTATAGAATAATTCATGTTTCCCAGTGAGAAACAGCTGGACCTACCACATGAGCCTCAAAATTTTACCAGGTTGACCTTATTTTTCTGACTCTAGGCAGGGACATTGCATCTTATTCCTAGTGGAGTAACCACCTCTCTCCTCCACCCCTACTTTCCACACATCGCTGGTACCTTCCAAGGCTCACAGATAATCTCTGCTCCAAGTTGCCTCCAGCCTTGGCAGGGAGGGAGCAAATGAAACTGGCTGCATTTTTCCCTGCTGGCTGTCAACACACACCACCCACCCTGGGCAAGTAGCCGCTTGCATGGTTCGGGTGGGGAGGCACCACTGGCACCTCAAGTTGTCTGCCTATTAGGAAGCGATGACACAGTTCCTGGCATCAGGCCTGGTGGGTGAGGCCTTTTCCCATGTAAATGTGATTGTACAGGATAAAGCCTGGTGCAGCCAAGTCCCTGGCAATAAGGAAGTAAACTCAACTTCAAGACTCTGTCAACAAGGGTTTGGAAGACAGGAGCCCTCCAGGAAATACAGGTTCTGAAGCTGCCACCTCCTCTGAAATCCATCTTTGGCTCACCCTGTCCCCAAGAGGAAAGGGAAGGTACTCCTGCCTAAATTGTGGAAAGAATTGTTGAGCTGCTGAGACTCCAAGCAGATTTTCATAGTTGATTTAACACCCTTTTCTTTGGGGCGTTTTAAAAATTTATTTATAAAGGTAACAGAAATTTTTGAAAAACAGTTGCAACTATTAGAATACAGGCTGAAGAATATATCTAATCTGAACTTCTTGCCCTGACTCGTGTGGCTCAGTGGGTTGGGTGTTGTTCCACAAAGCAAAAGGTTGCTGGATTGATTCTCAGTCAGGGCACAGGCCTGGGTTACGGGTTCAGTCCCTAGTCAGGTAAGGGTGCATACAAGAAGCAACTGATCGATGGTTCTCTCCTCTTCTTTCTCCATCCCTTCCCCTCTCTCTAAATAAATAAATAAATAAGTAAGTAAACTGAACTTCTTTTACAAGCCCATTTTGCTAAATAGTAGACACTTAATCCCAACCAATACAGCATTTCCTCTGCCCCTTTCCCTAAAGTCACATCTAAATTCTAAAAAGCCTGCATTTATTTATTTACTTACTTACTTACTTATTTACTTATTTAATTGAATTTATGTGGGTGACACTGGTTAATAAAATTATATAGGTTTCGGGTATACCATTCTATAGAAGCCTCCATTTAAAAAAATTCTTCTATAATTCTTGTGGACATTGTTGCTTAGGACAAAGCTCAAGCTAGTATTTAAGTAAAAACAAGAGTGAGTCAATGTAAAGAAAGATATTGAGTCAATGAGAGTATAATTGATACCCAGTTGCAGCCCAAATCAAGAAGACAGCACTCAAGGTCTGTCCTTGGGTGTCAAGACTTATCCCTGAGAGTACAAACCCAGCCAGCCACCATCAGGTCCATCCTTGACCTGCCTTTGAAGTACAACAGGCCCCTGTCTTCAAAGGCAGCTCCTTGGACCTTCTCCACCTTGCAGTGTGAGCTGGGTCAAGGATCCAGAAGGTACTAGAAACAAGCAGTCAGCACAGGTGCATGATCTGAGTTCCCGACACCGGGAAGCTGGGCGGGTCTGTTCACTTTTGAACACGGAGGTCCTGTCTTGCAACATTGTGGTAAATGCTTCTGAACTTGGGCCTTGGTGTCGCCACCTGTGCCATAACTTGAGCATTTATTTTTAAAGTGAGATTTTTACATGGGTCTGTGTACTTCAGAGTTTCTTTAGACTCTGGATGATCATGTTGACATAGGAAGAGGTCCCAGGTATCTCCCACTACTGTGGATGATCCTATTCAGGTATGTGTCAGTCTTTAAAAATATAAAATGGTTCTAGGCTTTTGACTCTCAGCTCTTGGCGGGAGCTAGTAAAACTGACTCCTAGGAGGTGGATGTTGGATCATCACCAGGAAGGGGGTCCCCGGATCTGTGCCCTTAGGATGTACTGAAGTTCAAAGAAAGTGCAGTCAGAGGTTCCTTTTCCTTGTGTAAATTTCTTTTGTGATTTTCATAACTTTCAGTATCAAAAAAAAAAATTTAGTTCCCATGTCCTTTGCATATTACCACCTAAGAGCTGAGTGGCATTTGTCTGGTTGCCATCATTTGCAGATATGCATGTACTTGTTCATTTTAAATGCTGCAGTGTTCCATTTGTATTTGGAAAACAATCATTTTTATCACTTACATAGGCCCTTGAAAAATAAAAGCTAGTTAGAGCCAATATACATATATTGCTGTAAACCAGGCATTGTCAAACGGTGTTTAGAAAACACCTGCAAAGGTAGGTATGGTATTGTCCCCAGTATTCAGATGAGAAAATGGAGGCACAGAGTCACCATATAGCTTGCCCAAGGTTGCACAGCACACCTGGATTCAAAGTTTGGCTCCAGCACCCAAGCCCTGAGCCTCTCCCCTATGCAGAGAGTCATGGGTTAGCCTTTCCTGCAGGTATACCATTCTGCAGAAGCCTCCATTTTAAAAAGTCTTTTTATAATTCTCACTGCCTAACAACCCTTCTCCCTGACAATTTATTTTTCCATAAGGATATAATCTCACTTTCATCAAGTAATATTCTATCATAAACATTTTTCCATGTTGATATAAAAAATAATTTTTTCATTAATTGTTTTTAATCATATAAACATTATCTGTTCATTCCTAGTGGAATAAAAGTTACAAACTACAGATAAACTAAAAATATTTGTAAAAATAACTACAGGTCCTCCTACCCAAAAATAATCAGTATAAACATTCTGATTAATTCCATGCAAATGTTTTTCCTATATACATAAATACCTATAACATTTTTTTAGCAAAAATAATTAACCAAATATTTCATCTTGTGCTTGTATCGTGGTTTGTTGCATCCTTCTGCTCTGTTGGACATTTAGATTTTCTTGCCATGACCATCTGTGTCCATGCAGAGAAGACAGGCAGTGAGGGTTTCATTGTCACAAGATGTGGTCACCTTTAAAACCTACCTATGGTACTTGGCCACCAGGTGAACAAGGAAATGACAAACCAGGAGCACTCTGGTCTCCTGGCACGGCTTAACACATTGGCCAGAGGCCAAGTGGGTGCTTATTTCTCCTTTAAAAGGCCATTTAAAGAAGGGGTGGTGGCTTCTGGCAGCTCCGGCCACATCTGATGTCTTTGGGCTGGGGTGGCAGGACATGTGCCAGACTACTCCTAGGTTGGACACTGATGTCATCTGAGGCCAGTGGTAGAAAAACCCACAGAGTGGCTTTTGTGAGAATGTGGCCTTGCATAGCAGCTAGAGGCCAAGGGGTCCATTTGGTGGGTTGTCCTTGAGTCGCAAGTGGAGAGGTATTTTACCTAATCTGGTGAGCTTATGAGACAAGGGAGGATCTTGGCTGAATCTGTCTCCTTGTGCAGTGTGACATGTGGAGATGGTTTTTAGATGGTGTGCTGATAAAGGTCTTTCATGTCACTAGCAATCATTTGTGTTGTATTAGAAAACATATAATTAGTAACCCTGAACCTCGAAAGAAGAGTCTTTATTGGATTTCTTCTACTGGGGGAAATTCACCACCACATTCCAGCCAAGGGATGGGAGACTCTTCCTTTGAAAATGAGGCCCAGCTCAGCCAAATGTTGAAGGCTACAGGCAGAGCCAATGTTTGGCAGGACTGCACCTGCTAGCCCAGATGGTTCCTTGGAGCAAATTGGAAAGATGCCACTGAGTGTGGGTACAGACCCTGCAGGGCTGCTACTGGGCTCATGGAGCATGGGTTGGACCTCGGCTCCCATCCTGAAGCTTCCAGCCTGAACAGGCGCACCCGGTACAATCTTTCCTGGTGCCCCAATGATTAGGTGTGAAGCAGGTGGAAGCAGCCATTCTTGGAGCTATAGAGGCCTTGCTTCCCCCAGGAATATCAGTCTACTGAGAAGTGTTGACAGAGCGTTGCCTCCCAAAAGCCTGTCTCTTGTGGACCGTACAGCCTGCTTTTCATGTGATGTGGTGTGCTCAGCTCTGAGCAAGGGTGTCTCCTGTGCTCCAGGCCTCCACTGAGCTGACTGTGGGGAGGGAGGGCATGGCAGGGCAGGTTGTGGCTTCACATCTACAGACCAGGCCAGGTTTTCCAATGCCCCTGCTATATGCTCCCTGCAAGGTGTGGCCAGTGTTTTCCACCGGCAACAGCTCTGAGCACTGACGTAATCACTCATCTTTCATCCAGGGTGGCACAGCACGACCCCTCCAAGCTGGCAGGTGGCAAGAGGGAGCCTGGCTTAGGGTTGGAGTGAGGATGGCAGCAGGCCCTGCCCCACTTGCTTTGCCCATGCTGGCTCCTCTCATGGTCACTGCTCCATTCTGAACTCTCCTTGACCGTAACCAGTGCCCACAACTTTGGCCTAACAGGCTTCCTTCCTTTCCCAGCACCCCAGATTACAAAACTCATGCCTAATTGGCCTCTTCAGGAAAGATGATTTTGTTTTTCCTGGGGACAAAGGGAGAATGCTGGCACCTGAGTCATGACCAGATTTCCTGAGGTTTTAAAGAAGATACAGGGAGGAAAGGGCACAGGGTGGGGTCCCCTGCCCTCCAGCTTGATGCAGCCAGTCTTCGACAGGAAGCCTCCGCCACTCACAGCCAGGGTAGCTTAAAATTGGCCCAGGAGGAAGGGGGTCTGTATTCCAGGTCTGGGCTCTGCATCACCACCTGC